TTCACCATGATGGCCAGGCTGGTCTTGAACTCCTGACCTCAGGTGATCCACCCACCTCAGCCTCCCAAAGTGCTAGGATTACAGGCGTGAGCCACCGCACTCGGCCAGAAGCCCCAGATTCACTGTGAGACTTGGGCAAGCTATTGACTACTCTGAACCTGTTTCCTCATCTCGAAAACGGGGCTGGCTGGGCACAGTGGCTCACGCCTGTAATCCCAGCACTTTGAGGGGCCAAGACAGGTGGATCACCTGAGGTCAGGAGTTCAAAACCAGCCTGGCCAACATGGTGAAACCCCTTTTCTACCAAAAATACAAAAATTAGCCAGGCATGGTGGCACATGCCTGTAATCCCAGTTACTAGGGAGGCTGAGGCAGGAGAATTGCTTGAACCTGGGAGGTAGAGGTGGAGTGAGCCAAGATCGTGCCACTGCACTCCAGCCTGGGCGACAGAGTGAGACTTCATCTCTAAAAAAAAAAAAAAAGAAAAGGAAAGAAAATGGGGCCAATGAGATATGGGGGAGACAGGCAGGGTCACGCAGGCGTGGCCTCTAACATGATGCTGGCTCTTCACAGCTGGGAGGCCCACACCCTCCGTGTCCCTCCCACAGCATCCCAGCAGCCAGGGCTCCAGGGGGAAACCCTGGGGTCTGGGGCCATGAGCACCTTCTGCTCTGTAAATAGAGTTTTCAGGGAGGCCTTACTTGGCTGAAGATCTTCCCCGTTCTATTCCACTGCTTGAAATGCCTTGAGGACTGTCAGGGCAGGAGCATCAGGTCCCCGAGTTCAGGACCCTCATTTTATGTCTGAGGCCCAGGAGATCCAGAGATAGGAAGGACTCGCTAAGAGTCCCAGAGTGGGGCCAGATGGGCCAGCCCTGAGCAAGGCCTCCTCATCCCCCCACCCCGAGAGCTCCTCATCCACTTCCTCCCTGGGGTGGGTTTTGGGGCAAGAGAAGAGAAGAAACCAGCCAGTCCAAATGACCACCATCCACAGGTGTGCAGGAGAGAGGCAGAGGGGACAGGGTGTGGCAGCCTGGGGCTTTGATGGGTGAGGTCACTGAGCTCCAGAGAGAGCAGGGGGCCTTGCCCAAAGCCAAACATAAGCCCAGGGTTCCAGGGGATCCCTGGTTCTCTGCCCGGGGGATTGGCTCCTGACCTAGCAGGTTCACCTGGTGCTGCAGACAAGGGAGCAAGGGAACTGATCCCCTGATGGGATACCGAGATTGGGCATCCCCTCGCCAACAGGGCCTGCTCCTCCCCATTAGCGAGTGCCCAGGGTCAACCCTGAGCTTCCACAATCCCCAGCCCCCACCAGCCCACTGGGCTCCACAGTGCAGCCCGATGGGGACATAGTTTACCCCTCACCCTGGCACCTTCCCCAGAGCCCACAGCAGGTGTCCTGAGCCCTTGCTGTGTGCTGGGCCCTGTCTGGGGTTCCCAGTGCTCCCAGCACATTCTGGAGCTTAGCAGGAAAGCTACCTCCCTGGCACTCCTCAGACCTGGCACCCTTCCCCATGGAGCAGTCCCTGTGACACCCCATCCCCCTGAAGACCCTTGGTCTGCAGCGAGCTGCTCAAATACGTGCACGCTGCTGCCACCACAGATGGTTTTAGAAGGAGTGAGAGGTTCAGCTACTAATTTGAGACTGACCCATGCAAGGCCTGGCAAAAAAGTGAAAAGTGGCTGGGCTTGGTGGCTCATACTTGTAATCCCAGTACTTTGGGAGGCCAAGGCAGGTGGATCACCTGAGGTCAGGAGTTTGACACCAACCTGGCCAACATGGTGTCTCTACTAAACTGTCTCTACTAAGCATACAAAAAAGTAGCCGAGTATGGTGGTGTGAGCCTGTAATCCCAGCTACTTGGGAGGCTGAGGCAGGAGAATCCCGTGAACCTGGGAGGAAGAACTTGTAGTAAGCTGAGATGGCACCAATGCATTCCAGCCCGGGGGACAAGAGTGAAACTCCGTCTCAAAAAAAAAAAAAAAAAATGAAGCATATGAGCTTGGCATTGTGTTCTCATGTGACAACCACCAGGGGATGGCCAGGTTTTCTTTTCCTTGTCACATGGGCTTCCTGGGGAAGGCCAGTGATGGCAGGAGAGAGTTAAGAGGCCTTGACAATTCAGCACCATCCTGGTCTGACTAGCGATATTCTTTTAAAAAGAGCCCTGCCAGGTGCGGTGGCTCACGCCTGTAATCCCAGCACTTTGGGAGGCCGGGCAGATCCCTTGAGGCCAGGAGTTCAAGACCAGCCTGGCCAACTTGGTGAAACCCCATCTCTACTAAAGATATAAAAAAATTAGCCAAGTGTGGTGGCAGGTGCCTGAAATCCCAGCTTCCCAGGAGGCTGAGGCATAATAATTGCTTGAACCCAGGAGGCGGAGGTTGCAGTGAGCCGAGATCACACCACTGTACTCCAGGCTGGGTGACACAGTGAGACTCCATCTCAAAAAAAAAAAAAAAAAAAAAAATGCCGGGCGCGGTGGCTCAAGCCTGTAATCCCAGCACTTTGGGAGGCCAAGGTGGGTGGATCACGAGGTCAAGAGATCGAGACCATCCTGGTCAACATGGTGAAACCCCGTCTCTACTAAAACTACAAAAAATTAGCTGGGCATGGTGGCGCGTGCCTGTAATCCCAGCTACTCAGGAGGCTG